TAGGTCCAGATACGTCTCGCAACAGCGTGATACCTGTGACCGCCATCTGCCACCTTGATCCATTGCCATGGGCACCCACTTGGAGGCCCTTTTGACTTAGTAAGTCTATTTAGTATCCCCCAGGAGCCCTATTATAATCCCCATAACCCACCTTACTAACCCTACTTACTAAGTCAAAAGGGCCTCCAAGTAGGTTTTCATCCCAAATGCCCCCAAAGCCCTGGTGTTCGGGTCGGGGAGCCCAAACCCTCTAGATCCTGCTCTTTAGGACACGTAGATATATACATATATATATATATACCATATATAAAATATACCATATGTATATTATATATATATATATATATATAATCATGAAGGAACTTAAACAACGGGGGTTTTGCTCATCAGGAGCCTGCGCTGATTATCACCCTAATCCCTAAACCGTGCTGATTGAAACCTTAAGATGCTAAGCTCGATAGCACAACGGTAATCCCAAATTGGGGCTTCCGTTTAGGCTTTAGGGTTTTTCACAGGCTTAGGGACCGTAACCCGTTTGAAGGAAGAACCCCGGAGCCATTCAACACTTCAAAGAGCCCATGGTAGAATCCCACTGAGGGTCGCCCTGACCGTGTCCAAGTCGGCTGCCAACTCCATGATGTCCTGAGGGTTTAAAATTTTAGGGTTTATAGGGTTAAGGTTTTGGTATTTTGGGGTTTGGTGTTTGGCTTTAGAATCTGCATCGCTGACGACAGCATGGAACAAACAAACAACAAGCATCGTGGAGGACATAAGGTTAAAAGGTGTGTTCAATCAAATCTCTGCAAGGGTTCCATTAAGGTTTATCACCAATTTCGAACGAAGCAATGATCCCAAGAATGGCCCTACATAGCAGGATGCTCCCTTAACCCTAAAACCCTAAGATTACCCCAAACCCAAAACCCTAAACCCTGTTAACCCTAAACCCTAAACTAAACCTTAAGCCTAAACCCTAAACCTAAACACTAAACCCTAAACCCCTAAACCCTAAACCCTGAACCCTAAACCCTAAACCCTAAACCCTGGCATAGGACCAGTCCCTGGAGGTCCTTCCGAACGGTCTCAGCGTCCTCCATCTCAACCATTTCTAGGTCGATTCGGCTGTCAATGTTGCTGTAGATGATGTCCTGGGTTCGGGCTCTAAGGACTTTAGGAGGGACCCCTAATAGGGACCCTTAATCCCATTACCTTAAATAACCATTGTATAGTCCTTATATACCCCTTATATAGCCAGGTAGTCTGGGTTCGGGTTCACGTTTTAGCTTAGGGCATGCGCCCTTTGGGGTTTGGGACTTCGGGTTTAGGGTTTAGGGTTTAGGGTTTGGGACTTCGGGTTTAGATCCGTTTAGGGTAGTACGAGGGTGAGGGTAGCCAGACGTTCCAACATGCCAAATTAAGGAATATATCCTAAATCACGTTAGGGATCCTACTATACTTTAAGGTCCATTCCTTAATCAATTACAGGAATTTTGGAAGATCTGGGTATAGAACCCTGTGAGGAACCCTTGTAGGAACCCTGCCCTAAACCCAAAACCCTAAACCCGAACCCTTTTCAAGCTACCCTGACAGAGCCCCTGGGAGGTCTGGGCAGCTAGGGTTCAGGGTTCAGGGTTTAGGGTTCAGGGTTCAGGGTTCAGGGTTCAGGGTTCAGGGTTTAGGGTTTAGGGTACGTGTCGCCGTTGATCTCTAGGGAGACCGGGCTACGGTGCAGGGTTTCTTATGCTTGGAGGATCATGTGACTTAGTAAGTAGTAAGTAGGGTTATAGCTACCTTAATTGGGGTTATAAGTACTTCTACGTATAGTTACCTTATTTATAACCCTAGTTCCCCCTATTACAATAATACGGACCCTACATTATTCGCCGTTGATCTTGATGCCCTCTTGCAAGACTACTTGTTCAAGGCCGGGGGTCACTGGCGATGCCAATGCGATCGATGAGTGCGGCATCCTGAGTTGGATTCAGGCTTTATAGGGTCTTTAGCCCTAAACCCTAAACCCTAAACCCTAAACCCTCTTTAGTCGAGGTTCTAGGATTCAGACTTCAGGATTTAAGATTCCCGACTGAGGATTTAGGACTTTAGGAAGGGTGCAGGCTCTAGAAAGAAGCATGTAGGATTAGGGTTTAGGGTTTAGGGTTAAGGGTTTAGGGTTTAGGGTTTAAGCCTCTCAGACCGATAATGAAAATACGAAATACTGTTGAGGATTTAAATCCTGCGTTACCGTAAGGACCCTAAACTAGGGGAATTATGGTATATTCCTTACTATGGGTAATGCAGGATTTGTAGCACCAACCGTATGTTTAAGAACCCGTTGGGTTTCTATGATACCAAAACTGAAAACGGATTTGCGAGGAACATGCAGGAATCGGCTAGAACAGCGGGATCCGACTACTAGGGCGCTCAGAGAAACGGAGGTTCATATGTCAAAAACCTACTATTAGGGTTTGGGGTTTAGGGCTACTTCGGACACCCTAACCCTAACCCAACACCCCGACATTACAGAACCCATACACTATATGATCCATTCTAGACCCCTTAAAGTGCATTACAGAACCCTCCTACCCCAAAGCCCGAAACAACCCTAAACCCTGAACAATCCTAAACCCCAAACAACCCTGAATCCTAAACCGAAAAAGCCCTAAACCCGTGAACCCTCAACCCTAAAACCTACACCCTCAAAAACCCTAAACCTGTGAACCCTCAACCCTGAACCCTAAACCGAAAACACCCTAAACCTATGAACCCTCAACCGTGATGTGCGAGACTCGGCTTTGCCTTCGGCCAGGATGTCCATTGCAGCCCGCAGCTCCTCGAGACTGTGTTTGAAGGCTCGGTGCACTTCGGTTCAGGATTTAGTTTAGGGTTTAGGGTTTAGGGGTTTAGGTGTATAGGGCTTAGGGGCTTAGTTTAGGGTCCAGGGTTTCGGTTTTAGGGGTTTAGTTTAGGGTTCAGGGATTAGTTTAGGGTACGACGGTTTTAGGGTTTAGGGTTGTAGATTTATATACAGTTCCTCAAAGAAGGTAGGCCTTTGTGCCTAAACAGGTGGGGTCTAGGTTAGGGTTTAGGGTTTAGGGTAGAACCTCCCTGGTGGGATTGTCCAGCACATATCCTACTTAAACGTCCCCTGATCCTTCTAAGTAGGAGCGAGAGCTAGAAAGCCAGATTCCCAGGAAGGAAAATTCGTGTTTAAGGCCCCCCAAGACGCCCAGAAGTTGGTTCGTAGTAGTTGCGGGCTCCCGCCGGACCTAGTACTGTAGCAAAAAGGCCCTCTTGGGGGGGCTTTAAACACGAAAAAAAAGGCTGCATGGAGCACTCCCAAACTCCAAAACCGAAACCATAAACTCTAAACCCTCGGCCAAAAACCCCGAAAGCTCTAAACCCTAAACCCCAAACCATCAACTCTTAGCCTTCACCCCTCAGTCACGAAGTCTCTAAACCCTACAGCACTTCGCCGAGTTGATGAGATAAATCCTGCTGGACGGTTAAGGGTTTAGGGTTTAGGGTTTAGGGTTTAGGGCATCATCGACCCTGCTTGGAGGATCATGGGACTGAGTAAGTAAGGTTATCACTACCTGAAGTTGGGCTTATATAAGTAAGAGAAGTACATTCACCTTAAATATAACCTTACTTACTAAGTCCCATGATCCTCCAAGTAGAGCCCCAGACTATGAATCCTAAACCCTAAACCCTCAGCTCTAAACCCTACCGCACCTCCCCTAAACCCTAAACCCTAAACCCTAAACCCTAAACCCTACCGTACCTCCCCTAACTCTATCGGCGCTGCTCCTTGGCACATTTCATCATCTCGTGAAGGCCATCGGTTCCGGAGCCTGCCCGGTGGTTCGCTGTCATATGGGGGGGGGTGGGTTTGGGGTGATTGCAGAATAGGGTACTTATGAAAAAAAATATATATATATACATATATATATATATATACATACTACGATAGCTATAGGGGCCTTCATGATTAGAATAGGGGATTTTCGGCTTAATAATCGGTTTTTGGGCTCGTAATATTGGTAAGTATTTAGGCTTCTATATTAGGGGCCTTAATGATTAGAGTAAGGTATTTTGGGGTGATTGCAGAATAGGGTTTTGGGGTACATTATACCTATAGTTATTGTTTACAACTCCCCAAATACCTAAAACCCTAAACCCTAGATCCTGAACCCTAAACCCTAAACCACAAAACCCCCAAACCCTAAACCCAAAATAGTGTCGGCAATTATTTAAGCCGCCTATATTACACATTATTTCGGGCTTCGGCTTCTTCGGGCTTCGGGCTTAGGGTTCAGGGTTTAGGGATTAGGGCTTCAGGGTTTTTTTAAGTGTTATGAGACTTTCACTCCGCAGACCGTCAGCCTCAGCCCTGTGGGCCTTTTGGGTTTAGGGATTAGGGTGTAGGGCTTTAGAGTTTAGGGGTTTAGGGGTTCAGGGTTTAGAGCTTTAGGTTTCAGGGTATAGGGGCCAAGGGATTTAGGGCTCAGGAGTTGGTCTCGTAGGGCTTCCTTTACAGGGAACTGTAAGGCTGTAAGACTTTTTGAAAGTAATATGGGGGCCTTAATAATTAGAATAGGGCTTTGGGGAATATTGTGCTATGATTAGAACAAGGAACCCCCAAAATATTATAAGTAATTACTAAGACCCGTATATGATGGGCTTTGAAGTAACCAGGGAGAAAAATGTATAGACGTTTGTTTCATACTGGTTCCTTTAAGGAACAAGTCCAAAACATATTAAGGCCTGGTACTCCAAAGCCCGGTATATGATGGGTTTTAGGGTCTAAACCCTCAACCCTAAACCCTAAACCGTATATGATGGGCTTTAGGGTTGATGGTCGGGCGCTTTCGGGCCTAACAGGGACTTGAGGGTTCAGGGACTTGAGGGTTTACTTAGAGGGGTTAAGGGTTGAGGGTTCAGGGGTTTAGGGTTTAGGGTTTACTTAGAGGGTTTAGGGTTTAGGGTTCAGGGTTGAAGGGTTTAGGGTTTAGGGTTCAGGGTTTACTTAGAGGGTTTAGGGTTCAGGGCTGAGGGTTTACTTAGAGGGTTTAGGGTTCAGGGCTGAGGGTTTACTTAGAAGGTTAAGGGGTGAGGGTTGAGGGTTACTTAGAGGGCTTAGGGTTCAGGGCTGAGGGTTTACTTAGAGGGTTTAGGGTTGAGGGTTTACTTAGAGGGTTAGGGTTGAGGGTTGAGGGTTTATTTAGAGGGTTTAGGGTTCAGGGCTTAAGGTTCATGGGACGTAGTAACAACTACTGCTAGAAATAAGGTAGCTAGACTTATAACTACTTATAACTTTTGGGGAACTTAGTACTCTAGACTCTAGTTTACTAAGTCCCATGAACCCCCAAGAAGGGCTTGCTGCCTGGCCTATCTTCTTGCCTGCGCAATGCTTCCTTAGACCGGGTCCGTGGCTGAGACACTGAGACACATCTTCCATGACACCGAAAAGTTCCGAAGCACGTAGATGGGGCATACTTGCCCCAACCAACAAAAGTAATTCCTACCTAAACCCTAAACCCTAAACCCTATTTTCTGGTAAATGTACTGCAGACTCCTTGGGACAAGTAAGGGCAAGTTGCCAGCCAAGTCACTCCACTGCCTCGACACGCTTTTTGACATCAGCGGTAGATGCCCCGCTGCCCATGGCAACCGACTATCCCATCAGTCTCTGCAACAGATCCCGGGTCGTGAAAGCTTCTAGCCAGCAAGTAGTGCTGCTTACGTCTTTTCAGCTGCTCCAAAAGCGCCTGTTTCAATGTAGCTATCATCAGGAACCCAAGGAATAACAACTTGGTGACGATTCAGGCTTCTGCGTTTCTCTTGCCTGCGGCCCATTTTTTGGGAGCTCACCTTGACACTCCTGAAGCCTTTGCATCGACATCCTGCGGTTCTTCAAAAAGCACCTCAACAACAACTATAAGGTGGGGATATCTCATCATCTCCCTTCTAAACAAAGCAATAAGGAAGGGATAATATCCCAGCAACAAGTTTGTGTTTGGGTGCTTCTTTGGGACCTGATCATGGCCTGATGCGCGGGAGCACCCGTGTAACTATCCCTAAACCCTAAACCCTAAACCTTAAACCCTAAACCCTAAACCCTAATCAAACTACAGGTTCCCCCAAAACTCTTTAACCCTAAGCCCCACTGACCCAAACCCCTGAAACCCGGAACCGCAAACCGCTTCACGTCGTTCTGCTGGTCCACACCTGGAGACTCCAAAACTCCTTAATTAAGGAATATACCTTAAATTATAATAGGATCCCTAACATGATTTAAGGTATATTCCTTAATTAAGGGGTTTTGGAGTCTCCAGGCAATTGCCCTCTTGCAGAGCGCCTGGTGCATCTGCCCGGACATCTCCAGGTTCTTGTCCGTCTCGGCACCTGGAAACCACTTGGAGGAGCATGGGAAGTAAGGTTATAACTTCATTCGGGGTTTCGGGTTTAGGTTCTTTTGTGGTTCCTTTAAAGGGATCCATAAGGGTTCTATCAGGCATCCAAGAGGAGGTTCAGGCTCAATTGGGGTTATACTGCTTATAAGTCTAGTTACCTTATTTATAACCCTAGTTGCTGAGTCCGATGATCCTCGAAACATGGGGCTTACGGTTGCTTTGGGTCGAGGGCTTGAGGGTTTTTGGGCTTCAGGGCTCAGGGGTTCGGGTTTGCTGGATTTGGGACCCAGGCTACCTTAATCATTTGAATAGGGTTTTGGGACCCATTATACTAAAAATATAATAAAGAGCCCCCAAAATAGTATTGGTAATGATTTAGGCCCCTATATTATTCAGACATGCAGCACAAGCACGGGCAATTGAAAAAGCTGGCACAACAAAGCTCCCCATAAACCTCCAGACGAGCCCCGGGCATTTCGCTGGAATGCTGGGCCACCAGAGTAGCGGGACGAAACGTCCGTTGCTGCTCCAAACGGTCTGAGCGGCACACTTCGAGAAGTGAAGAATCTTCTGCTCTTAAAATGCAGGGTTTTTTTAAACTGGGTTCTTGTTAAGGGATTTAATTTAAGTTACCATAATAAGGAAACCATATTATTTACTATAGACCCCTATTATGGTAACTTAAATTAAATCCCTTAACAAGAACCCAGTAAAGTGTTATGAGAGTTTCACTCCACACACCTCAAGTCTCAGCCCTGTGGGCTTAAACACTAACAAAAGCCACCTCAGACATCACCCACCAGGAGTGAATGCAGGGTTTAGGAGGGTTTAGGGTTCCTTTTTGGGAAAACTACGTTCTAGCTAAAGCTCCTTTAGAAGAAGCTAGGGTAAAACCAAGAAGCTCTACAGATAGACCATTATAGGGACTAGTGACAATAGGGTTTTGTGGCCCATTAGACTACACTTATAATAAGGAACCCCAAAATAGTTTTGGTATTTGTTTTTAGGCCCCTATATTAGTTCTTCACAAGTTTACAGCACCTGTTGCCAAGATAGCCTCTCGTTTTCTGCTGAGGCCGTGCCTGGTCCCTACTTTCAAAACGACCCTCAAAGCTACCACGATTTGTCTTGGTATCTCCGAACCAAAGACATCCTGAACTACACCTAAACCCTAAACCCTAAACCCCCTAAACCCTAAACCCTAAACCCCCCAAACTCTGAACCCTAAACCCTAAAACCCTAAACCCTGAACCCTTACAGATCCCTTTAAAGGAACCCTTATAGATCCCTTTAAAGGAACCCTTATAGATCCCTTTAAAGGAACCCCTAAATCCTAAGAGCCTTAAAGGAGGGGCTTTGCTGAGGGACTGGCCACGCTCGGTGGACACTCCAAGGGCGGCATCTGCAGCGTTTGGGGTTTAGGGTTTAGGATTTAGGGGTTTAGGGTTTAGTGGGTTTAAGGCTTAGGGTTTAAAGTTTAGGG